CTTTACTTTTTTTTTTTTCAACAAATCTGATTCCTTTGAATTTGTGACCTTTCTGTGATCCTCTTACACTTCACTTCCACTGTCAGCTTGAGAGATGCTGGCTCAGCTGAGTAAGGTTAATTGAATGATAGCAGCTATTGAAATGTGTCAGCATACGCAGACCGATTTCGATTTCGAACTCTTCACTGGTTTTGTATCTCCCTCAAAGACAGAGAGACCTTGCAGAGAGGTCTAGACAAAATAGAGGGCTGAGCAATTATCAGTTGTATGAAGTTTAACAAGGGCAAGTGCCAGATCCTGCACCTGGGATGGGGCAACCCTGGATGTAGCTCTAAATGGGGGAATGAGAAGCTGGAAAAGTAGTGCTGTGGAAAGGGACCTGGAGGTTCTGGTTGATGGCAAGTTGAATACGAGTCATCAGTGTGCCCTGGCAGCCAGAAGGTACAACCATATCCTAGGGTGCATCAGGCAAAGCATCACCAGCCAGTCAAGGAAGTTGATTGTCCCTCTCTGCTCTGTGCTGGTGCTGCCTCACCTTGGGTGCAGTGTGCAGTTTTGGGCACCACAGTATAAGAAAGACATAAAGCTATTAAAGAGTCCAAGGAAGGGCAAAGAAGATGGTATTCCTTTCATTTGCGTTTGTTTCCTGCTATCCAAATAATTGATAATCTGATAGTAGACTTTCTACTGTTCATCAAATGTCCCTGAACTGAAGATTTATTCCTGAGTAAAGAGGCAAAATCTGTAATTTGTATATCAGTATCCCCCTCTGAAGGTTTTCCTTCATGATTTTAGAAATCCAGATTAAATCTAGTATCATGATTCAAACAGTGCTATCAGAACCAGATTTCAGCTGAAACCAAAAAAAGACTCCAGCTCATACACAAATAATAAAGGAATCTGAAGCAACTGCATAAATAACAGTGCAAGAACCTCACGCACTTTTGTTATTCAAATGCACTACCACTTTCCATCTTTAAGAACCTTCATTGCTGAAGGCTGAAAAAACAATCTGTAAGTGCCAGCAACTTCTGTCTTTCCCAGCTGTGCACATCCTACAACACTGTGCTTCTCCTAGATGTTTTCTCTACCTGCATGTTCACTCTACTGCATCTAGTTAAGAGACATCACAGCAGGGACAGAGTCAGTGTTATCACTATTGACTGACTTTCAGCTGTTGATGTAGCATTCAATCCAGTCATTTCTGGGATTTCTTTTAATGGTAGGACTGTGCCTTAAGAAAGTACATATACATGCACAATGATAGTATATTTTTTCCTATTGATACTTGCCTTGAGCAGTATGGTGGGAGCAAGAAGTACAGTTTTGTACAGCCTGTCCTTGCACACTCTGTGCATTTGCTTCACAAGACAGTGAAGAGTTGACTGCAGGGAAATTTTTTGTTTGATTCTTGACAGGGCAACTCTATATCCATTTATTCCAGAAATCTGTTTTAAGATGCCTATTGAATGGATGAACTGCCAAAAGAGTAGGAAAGATGTAGCACAGTGGGAATTTACTTCAAATAAGAATTAGGAAATTTTGAATCTACTGCTCATTTCAAGGAAAACACCTTTCCTAGGCACACCTGTGTCCATATGAGCATGTGAGTCATAACCTGCAAGTGGGGAAAAGGTATGTAGCCCTATACAGATGGCCTTGGTGGGATGACATCAGGGATTGTCCTGTGCCAGTCACAGCCAGTACCAATGGGCCCCAGCAGACAAACCAAAGGGCACAGCTGAGCTCTTCGTCCAAGATAGCAGTGCCCTTGAGGAAAGGAAGAGGTGAAATGTTGCCCAGCACTGTGAGAAGTGAGGAGAAATAGTGAGAGAAACATCCTTGCATACATGAACAGTAGAGGAGAAGTAGGAAGATGTGGTGCGCCAGGTGCTGGAGCAGCTAACCTCACTGCATGTCCTCATGGGGTTCTCATGGAAGACCCAGGCCAGAGCAGGTGGGCATGCCCCAAAGGGCATTGCAGGGTCCAGAGAGCCTATGCTGGAGCAGTCTTATCCTGAAGGTCAGCAGCCTGTGGAGAGTTAGGAAGGGTAAAAAAGTGCAGATGAGGCAGCACCAGGGAGAAACTGTAACATGCTGACCATAACCCCCATTCCCCACCTAGGATGTGCCACTGGAGGTGGTGGGGGAAGGTGTTTTCATTTTTCTTTGTTTTCCACTATCCAAATCTGTTTTAATTGGCAATAAATCAATTTTCTGCAAGTCAAGTTTTATTTGCGCATCATTTGATAAAATTTTCCATATACTTAAGGTGTCTCTTTACTGCATAAAGTAAATAAAATGCAGAGCAAGTACCTAGTTTATACTTAGAAAATCTGAGGAATTTTTTGCCAAATGAGATTTTGCTGGGCTTGAAGTCTATTGAGATATTTGTGCTACATTTAAGTTTGTGTATTTCAGGTTAGAAACTTGAAAGTGCAGGGGAAAGAATGACATGTTGTGTTACCTTTGCATGAGACAAGTCCAGAATCCTGGAGGCTTTTCAATTGCAGCTGTGAGCAGTGATAGTTTTTCAGATGAAGGTGATGGAAGATGAGTCAGTTCCTCAGAACTCACAGTTCAACCCCAGATACATTAATGTGTATCTATTAAATTTTTTTAATCTTCATTATGCTGTGGGTTTTCATGACATGAAAGTTTTGCATTTGAACCCATCTTAAGGCTGTAATTGGGTCTTGCATTCAATATCTGAAAACATGTTGTAACTGTGGTGCTTTAATGCATGGCTTCAATTTTCTCTGTTTTCTGTGTTTACTTTTATGGTAGAAGATCTTCTTAACTCCACTTCTAATGATTTTGAGAAAATAAAACATGGTTGGCAAGGATACAGCTTCATCTTCCTTTTCTACCTGTAAAATTGTCAAAGAGATGGAGAAATAGTCTGGTGGGGTTTTTTTGTTTGTTTGTTTGGTTGGGTTTTTTTCAAGAGCAATCAGAATGATCACAGAGATTATTCTGTTATCCAGATTTGTCAAAAAATCACCCATTTGCATATGTATAACTTTAAATCACTGTTCAGTTTTTTAACTTCTGACTTAGGAAACTGGCAATAATTTTTGGATTTCTCTACCAATGAATTAAAATTCAGTTTATGCAAGAAGCTGAAAGAAAACGTTAAATGTCAATGGTCCTGACACAGCTTCTCAGTATGTCTAGTTGGCGATCTGAAGAACATCATCTTAAAGCCCTGGTTTCATTTTCCAGCAAAGAGAATGAAGGCAGAAGAAATACAACAAATGTTCTATGACTGAGTCTTTGTTCAAGGGGAACTAAAGTCTTGTGTTCTGTAGGACAGGACTAACTCCAAGAACCACCTAATGGGCTGCTATTCCGGTTCTATATCCAGAGTTTTCAGTATCTTTCATAGGCTAAATAATTAATAACAAGAAATAAAAAGTCTGTGCCTGTGTGAAATTCAGCATTAAACATAAAAATCAAATGAAAAATCGTTCATGCATTTTATTAGTATTTGAGAACTATGCTTTTAAATAAAAGTTCATTTCACATCATTTGTAATTTATATTAGAAAAGTCATTTGTTATTTAAAAATAGCATTTTGCTAGTACATAGAAGTAGTATCTTGTAGGTGTGCACGAAGTACCCAGTGATACATAAGTATCACATAACGTAAGTTAATGTATAACATTTAAAGCTCATAATGAAGATAAAGTGAACCTACAAAGTAAGTGCAAAAAGGAAAAGCAACAGCCATATACCCAGATACTTTTATGTTCGGATACAGTGTTGATGATGACCTTTCAACATTTGTTCAATATTCTGTAGCTAGTGTAGTGGATTGAAAAATTAATTACATTTGTTCACATTATTGTGTAGAGAGATTGTGTTGTATTTTTTCTTTTTAAAGTAATACCCACTTACATTTGAAGGAAATTGTATTTTGCACCACATATAAAATTTGATTTTGTTTTCTTGCTTGGGTAGGATTATTTTTTTGATAAGTCAGTCAGGATATCCAATGTGATAATGGCACCTACATAATTTCAGTGCAAACAAAATTATTGTTTCTCTTTGTTGCTGCTATATAGAAACATACAGAAGAGCTCTTTGCTTCCGTCAGCCAGATGTATCACATTGCTGTGTTTCTGTAGCAGAACTGTTTAATGGGTTTTTTAAGTTTAGAAAATGAGGAAGTTAACTATCAGTCTTGCTGATGTGGGAAACCACCCCCCCCAAACCTTGCTGTCTGCAGCTTTCTGCTTAATAGGAACCTGTGTGTGTTGACAGCTTAACAATTTGATCTGAATTAGATTTGTGTGGTATTTATATATATGTGTTTTATTGCATTTTTTTAAACTTTGGCCATGCTCTTGTAATATTAGATATCCATCTGGTGTGTTAACTTTTCATTTATGTTTGTGGTATAAATATGTTGGAACAGTGGAGGAGCTAACCAATGAAACAACTGTATTAAAATATTTTTCTGGTGAAACTGCTGCCAACCAAGGAAGTATTGCTGGCTTGTTTTATACTTTACTTTTTTTTACAATTTGGAAAAGTGTAAAAGAAGTGCCACATGATGTATTTTCCTTCTTCATATTTGTTCAGGATGTATTCTTGTGCCCTAAATTGTACCTGTTATTTCATTAAATATAGTTAGCTAAAAATATGGTAATACACAGAGTAATAAACCCAGTTTATAGAATTTTCTGTACATGCTGTACATATTCAAATGACCTCATGGGTCTCCCAAAGCAAACTTTTAACATTCCATATTTTTTACTGTGCATGCTCTACTGGCATGTAGCCACCCACCCACCCAGATTTAGTCGAAATAAATTAAATTTATTCTAGGTCATTTAAGTAGAAAGCTTGTAAAACATAAAGGTACTCACTTTGCTCATAAGGTAACTAAATCAAAGTATTTTCTTAAATGGAGTTTTGTGGGGCTTTTCTTCTGCAGGACTGTGCACACCTTAATAAATTCATATCTTATGTGTTCCTTTTGTTTTCCTTTGCAGATGGGGTTTATACAGATTAATGAGGACTTCATATTTATTGAGCCACTCAATCGCACTTTGGCTGTGACAGGTCATGCACACAGGGTGTACAGACGAAAAAGGTCCGTTGAGGAGAAAATTACTGAAAAAGCAACTTCTCAGAATCAGTACTGTGGTGTTGTTACAGGTAAAATACATATCTAACTGACAAGTTCTAATGTAGCATATGTGTTTTTAAGATAGGTAGATAGTAGTTAAGAACAACCTGCAACAAAAGCATATCTAATTATTTTTGTAGCGGTGTGATATGGTGGACTTTGGAGCTGGCATGCTGAGGCTGCAGTCCCATTTGTTGGAAGAGGAAACTGTCCATTGAGGAATAGACACTGCTTCTTAATATCCACTTGTCTTTGAAAGTAGAAACTTTTAGATAATTTTTTTCTTATTTCAACTTAATAATTACAGTCTATTTCTTGTCCCTCTTTGTCATTATAGTTGCTTTATTACTATGTGCAGTGGTTGTACTTAATTTTCTGTTTTAAAACACTGGCAGAGTTCATCCTGGTTTAGGTTAGCAATAGCTCTTGAGCTTCCAAATGGGTCTGAGACTGAATTGAAATGATTTTCGTAAGTGTTCTTGTTATATGATTGACACTTCGAAGAACTGTATGAAACAATCCTGACTTTTCTTTCTCAATGGCAGGTAGAAGAAGTTGTTGAAGTAGAAGTGTTTCAGCAAAAATTTGGTACATAGTGATGTCTTAATTGTTTTCAGCAGGGAAGGGGAAAATGTCTTTTGTGAAAGATGACAGTTGATTGTTCCTGCTTCATCAGCTCCCCTTTCTCAAAGGATAGAGGACATCTCAGTCTTTTGGCCCCAGCATGAACTGATGTTTCTAATGTTGCTGTGAGAAATTACTTTTCTCTGAGGAAATAAACCAGAATGGGTGCCCATTTGTTGGCACGTTTTTCATATAGAAGTGAGACACTGGCAAAGTGGAAAGAAATGGCAGAGGTGCACTGACATGACTAGGGAGCTGGATTATGTGACATTTGAGGTGAAGCAGAAGAAACTGAATAATTTCAAATAGGTAAGGAAAGGTAAAAGGAAGGACGCAGTTGCAGTTTTCTGATGCCTAAGGGGCTGCAGAGAGAAAATGAAGCCAGACACTCCTTAGAGGTATGCTGTGACAGTCAACAGTTTCAAGTTGCATTCAAGGAAATTTCAGTTTGCATAAGGGGGAAAAAAGTCTCAGTAAGAATGCTTAGTGCTGGAAGAGGTTGCCTAGAGAGGCTATGGAGTCTGCATCCTCAGACATTTATTTTAAAAATATGCTGGAAATTGCTCTATGAGAGCTGGTCTTACTTTCATACTTGCACTGACTGAACCAGGAGGTTGGACTAGTTGCCCCCTGGAGATAACTTTCAGCCTCAGCTTCTCTGTGGCTATGTGATCCTTCCTGAACATTTATACTGCTCTGTCCATTTTATATTACAGAGTAAATGTGGCAGACTTTGTCTTGGGTTTTATCCATTTTGGAAGCATTGTTTTTGTAGGTAGGCATCCATCCACAGTTTGAAATCAAAGACAAATTAGCAAAGCAAGTCTCTTTTTGTATGTATTAAGAGGGGCTGAATGAATTACATGTAACTTCCTCCAGCAGGCTCTGTATTACTCTTCTTGGCACTGTATTACATTGTCACTGCTTATCTAAAAGTGAAATTTTCTGTATTGTTCACATAAAGTAAAGCTGTTTATTCTTCTGTATTAGTGCTAAGTGAGTTAGAGTATTCATACCTGCTTGTGTTTGGGAATGAGAAAGGGAAAATGAAAAGTATGCATGGTGTGTTCACTGTGTAAGGGGGAGAGGAGCAGCTGACAAACAGCAAACCATGTTGGGTGTGAAAATGACTTAAAGATGCAAACTCTTCTGTAAGGACATTATATTTCTGTGATGTTCATTGCCAGATATCCTTTCACTTTCTCTTATGCTCTAAAATGGGAAAGTCATCTTATTCTGTTGTAATAATCTTATGCTCAAGGCCCCAACTTGTTGCAAATAATCTGTCAACAGACATTCAAATATTTGTTTGAAATAAATTTCATAATCTCTACTACCAGCTTTGAAATGTCAAAATACCTCAAACTGTGCATAACTGATGAGCATCTTCTGGCATAAACCTATTGCCAGGGGGATATAAATATCTGAAATTTATAACTGATGCTGTTGTAGTAGGAAGACCAGTCCCTCATTCTGCTTTGAGAGGTTATTTTACTAAGCAGGACTGCAGTAAGTTACATGCTTGAAAGCTCTGTCTATGCTGGGAGCAATTTGCTGGTGTGACATGGAAGTTAGCTAATATCACCAAAATATTTGCAGTACAAGTACAGCCTTAAAGGTGGGCTGAAGCATCAAAGATAAGGTTTTACATCAATATTTGAGAATTCTAAGTTAAACCCTAAACTACGTGGATCAATTAAACAAATATGAAACAGATGAGTATATGGGTCTCTGAGATAGGCTTGGGTTATGCCCAGCTGCCTTTGGTAGAGTTGACGCATAATGACACAGAGCAACTATTATCTCTGTGACACAGCAAGTTCTCAGCAATATGGACCTATCTTACAACCAGATCTCTTGCTTCTACAGTACTTGTGCATCAAAACAAGTGCGCAGCTATTTGTGCTGCTGGTCTTGATCCAAATTGATCTCAAAGACTGGCTACTTATCAAGCAAATATGTATTGCCAATGACGAATTGTAATTATCAGAAGGAATGAATGGCTGTGCTGGAGGTGTTGAAGGATCACTATTGGAAATAGCTTTTCATGGAGAACTAGCAGAGGCAATCAAAGAAGGTATTGTTTGTTGTCCGTTACTCTTGAGGGCTGGATTGAAAGTTGCTATGCAGCCAAACTTGTTTGCAGAGAACAAAGAACGTGTTTTTGTGAATGGGGTGGTTTTCTTATTAATTAGGGGAGGGAGAGAATCATACTAACAGAAGCAGATGCTTTCTTGATTGGTGATAGTGTGCATGAATCAAAATATTCTTCTGTTGAAAGTGTGTATGATTTATTTACATGTGTGATCCAGTTGCACATACACAGACCTTACATACCACACCTTTCTTTCACACATGGCCCATGAAACCTTTAAAAGCAACCAGTTCAGAAGTGTGCTACAGAAAAAAAATGTGCGAGAAGCAGTTGTGATTAGAGCAAAGGGCCACATTGGGAAGCTAAGTGCTTTTCCTTCTACCTAATCTGAAACATTTGTTCCAGACTGAAGTTGTTTGTATGGTGAATCTAACTCATGGTCAGATTTCAGAAAAAAACAAACCTCTTCTCAGGTGGTCATTCCTATTCACACAGACTAGTCAGTGAGAGCTTTTATCCAGGATATGGTAGATGTGAATTTTGAATCCCTGCTGAATTTATGAGTCTAGAAGCCTCCCCTTATGTCTCTATTCTAGCAATAAACAATATACAATATACTGTTCTGAGTTACGAGTGTGCTTCTCCCCTTAGAGCAATGCAATTTTGCAGGAAAAAGCCTCCAGATTTTTACTGAATCTAAAGCAGAAGTTTTACTTTGTGGGATGTAGACAGGTCAGTCAGCTGGGAAAGCTGTGTTGATTCTTGCCCTACAGCCTGTTTCCTTGTGATAGTCATGAAATAAAATGCACAGACAATCTTGGTCATAGATTTGGGTCTGTGAGATTGCACTAGATGCAGACTGATGCTACTTGAGATGCTTGTTTCCTTACCTTGGGCCAGAAAAATTTGTTACTCTTAATAAAGACATTTAAATCCCTGTTCAAACTACAGAGGAGGTATAGCTCATGGCTTCTTAACCTCCTGAATATTCTCTACCTAGACAAAATACTGTGATTTCCATGTGACTAGGGAACCCATTTGTTTTCCATGGGAAAAGAAAGGCTGATGGTGATTGCTTTGTAGTCTGGGCCTCATGTGAATATACTCAGGAAGTACTTTTGTGCCTGAGGACTTGTAGGTGTCCAAAGGTCCTGTAGTCACAGCCTCTTAATGTTCACTCAGATGCATTATGCATTCTGTGATTATAGTAGCTGGATTTTAATCTTTTAGCTTTTTTGGGTTGGATTGTTGTTTTGTTAACATTTCTTGTTTTCCTTAATTGCCTATTGAATGTCAAATGTACTTGCTGCAGTATTTTTAGCCATCTTACTGGAGTACTGGAGTATTCCTGTCTTTCCTTTCAGTCAACTGAGTTTAAGTAATAAATTCTTAATATTTTCCATAGTTGCACAAAACGTAGAAGCCTTATTGCACAGACCCCTCATGTGACATTTATTTTTTATTTTGACAATGTAATTAAGTTTTTAATGTGAATTTTTGCGTCTTTAATCTGATTTACATCTTGCTAGCACATGCATTATTGTTGTAGGTGTACTTTTGCAAGAGTTGTTATCTTTCACATACTGTGCCTTCAATAATGACCAGTTCTATGTAATTTTAGCTTCTTTATAAGTATGTAAAGAAACAAGTGTTTTTGCCTAAAGCCTGTTTTGCCTGCTATCTGGCAGCAGTTGTGGCAATTGTTTGAATACCAAAATTACTAATTCCATTAATTTAAAGGTCTTAGGGAAGAGCTACAATTTTCAGATAAATGAGATCTCGTGGTAAGGATTTCTGCCAGCAATTTGGAAAAGGTTGGCTGGCCAAGAACAGATTGTCCATTGCTTTGTTAATGGGACAGATATCTAAGGCAAAAGATGGGCACAGCCCCTGGCAGACAGCTTGTCTACAGAGCTGTGTAGTCTTCTCATCCGCTGCAATCCCGAAAGATGGAGGTTTTGGCAGTTTATGGGACTGCAGTGACCTTAGTGTTTAGCACAATGCTGCATTTTATTGTGGACTGCTTACTGTCAGTTCTGAATAAAAAGTCACTACTAGCTATAACTTTTATGGAGGTGTGTTAACAGACTGGTCTGAACAGCCATGGTAATACTAAATTTAAAGTTTTCAACCACTAGCTGCTGTTTTTTACAAAGAAGTGAACAATGAATAAACTGTGTTGCTGGAAACTGCACTGTAATCAATCACTGTGCCTAGAAGGAAGGCAGATTGACCAGATGGCTGGTGAGAGATCTAATAACCCAAATGAGTTTACTGTTTAAACTTAGATCTATAGCTTACTCTTGCAGCATCAGATGTTTGTGTGGTAAGTCATAGTTGTATAACTTACAGGGTGTGGGAGGTTTGGCACAAATACTGACACTGAAGTTTCATTAGAAATTATCCTCAAAAGACTGATGAAAACACACGTAATGTTTTATAAACTAGCCTGTAGATCCACAGTTAGCAAGCACAAGTAAAGCTAGCGACAAGCAGAAGTTATAAGGCTAAGCAAGTGTCTGAAGGATCAAAATGAGAGACTTTGAAATTAATTTTAGGCAGCTTATGAATTTATAAGCTGTTTCTACTTCTAGGCAATCAAACACCAAGTATTTATTTCTGGAGAAATAAATTTCTTTTAGAAAACATGTATGCTTAGCAGTGTACTAAGTCTTACATTGTCACCAGTTATATAGGAGTCAGTCCTTCTAACATGTAATGGGGTGGACCAAATCACTCACATATATAAACTTTAACAAATGATTACAGGAAAATATGGACAACCTTTTGGCATGCATACTTTATACTTGTTATGTTGAAAAGTATGTATCTACATTATATGTATATTAAATCTAAATTACACATACATTTACATCAGACATCCCTCTTCCACTGGTATCTTATATTTTAAATTAAAATTGTAAGTTCATTGACTTTTAAGGCATAGGTTTAGCACTGTGCTGAAGAGTGACTTACTTTTTGGAGAGAAGTCATGTGATATTAAATGTACCACAGAAACTTTCCTGTTAAAGATGAGATTGATTAATTGCAAAACATTTCCTCAAAATTTCTGAATATTTGAACAAGTGTTATAATTGTCACCTCAAGCATTGCTTTTGTTGGAAACAGAGAGACCAGTATTCCATTGTGCATGCTGAAAAAAGTTTCACTTGATTTCAGTTACTTGAACGAGATCAGTCCTAGAAGTTCTACATCCTCTCATGAGAATCTAACCAAACTTAGCTATTAAACAAGGAGTTTCATTTTATGTTTTATTTTAAATTAGATTATTTAAAATGTCATTGCTAACTGCTATATGTATATCTGACCACCTTCTGACTTGAACTGTTTCTGTGTAATTAGTTTTTCTTTTTCCATATGTATTGTGATAGTAATGGGGATTTTGTTCTGTTTTAGGAGGGTAAACTTAAAATTAACAAGATCTATAACCTTTATGTTGCCATAATTGCAATATATTTTTGATTTGGAGTTTTCCGTAGGTTTTGGTTTGTTATTTTAGTTTAGCTGCTTGTAATGACAGCAACACTGACTTTGAAGTCATGTCAGTAAGACTTCACTTTTTTGTTTCGAGCAAACCTTTATGCTGCATGTCATTCTCTGTCATTTATCTGAAATATTCTTTCATCTTTGCAAATCACTGAATTATTCCGTGTATTTTCATAATACTGAATTTGTGGCAAATCTGTATTTCTCATCTTATATGCTAAGATGTAATTGCATCAAGATGTTTTCTCTGTGACTTACGAAGATGGGCAGTTAACAATTCTGCAATGTCAGTGGGACTGTTTTTCTTTCAGACCCAGCATGGGTTTAGTTTTCCCCCACAAACCAGACTAGGAGAGGCACACTCTTTTATACAAATGCCAGGTGAAAGGAGGCAAAGAATCCTTCTGACTTTATTAGGACAGATGAATAAATTCCCATTTTCTTGGTGTGAACTTAGATTTATACGTAGCACAGGCCTTTAGTACAAACCTTAGCAGTGGCAGTGGTAAATAAAGTTCATAGCTATTACATTCCATATAATCAGAATTATAACATAACCAAGAGTAACAAATTCTAAAAAGCACTCTAGGAGTAGTTTGAAAGATGAGTTTCCCAAGCCCTGTTTTATATTACAGATAAAAGAAAATCCAAGAATCAAAAAGTATCAGAAAGCGGAAGAGGAAAGCGATACTCCTACAAGTTACCTCAGGAGTACAACATAGAAACTGTTGTGGTGGCAGATCCAGCTATGGTTTTGTATCATGGAACAGATGCTGCCAGAAGATTTATTCTAACCATCTTAAACATGGTAGGAAATTAAAAATTAATTTTTATGTTTTGCCAACAATGCACTGCAGATTGATTTCATTGCTCCTTCTAATGATTCTGTCTGAGTACCTGTAAGAGACAGTCAGTACCTGACCATCAGCAGTCTGTCAAGACTTACTCCATATGTTTTGCAACATAAAACCATGGTGCTGTAGACTTGTTTGTGCTGTCTGGTCATGCATCTTCAGGGAAGCCTGAAAGTGAGAGAGCAAGATGACTTTTTGGTCGGAAGCTCATGGTGGTGTTGGAAAGTCTGGGGTATTGGATATTTTTGGTGATCTGTGCTTGTTATGAAGACATGGCATTGTTGTTGAGAAGGATTGTGTGATCATTAGTGACTGAAAAAAAATGAAAGAGTAATGGGCTTGGACAATTACATCTGTTTCCAGCTCCATCTGAAACTGTAGTGCACTCATTTGGTGCATAAAGCAGTGAAAACTAGCATCTGTAATCATAGAATCAAGGAAATATTCTAAAGAAGGAGAATAAATGAACAATTAATGTAGACAACAATTAATATAAACTTTATTCTGAATGCTAGGAAGAGTTAGAAAGTTAGAGTTAGAGGTTTGCCAGACAGCTTGGGCCATGATCATGGATTAAACTGACCAGAAATTTTCATGTGAGCAGTATTAAATGCATGTGTAAATATTTGGAGAAACAGGGTACAATTTATAAAGTGGTCATGGCTATTGAGGGGAAAAGGTCTTTTTTTGTTCTCCCACAATGAACAGTGCCTAGGCTCTTTTCCCTTCAGAAGAACAACACTGTACATTAGCTTAATGTTCTCTTCAAATTATGGAAAATTAAAGCAGTCACAGTAGAATATGATAAAATTTTTAGGTTCTTTGAGGTTCTGTGATATTTAGTCTACAATTTGTTGTGTGCAATGCAGGCACATGTTTTTATTTGCTGTTTTTTATCTTAGGTTTTTAACCTTTTCCAGCACAAGAGTCTTGGACTACAAGTAAATCTTCGTGTGACTAAGCTTGTCCTCCTTCACAAGACTCCCGTAAGTATTTATTATCTTTGTCTAGGCCTGTAGAGGGTAATGCTACTTAGCTTGTTGCTCCACAAAGGCTTGCAATATTCACCGACTTGAATGGCTAACAAATTTTCTCAGTTAGGTTTCGAGCATTACTTAGTGCTTTTCTCTGGTGCACAGCCTCAATAAAGATTTAACTTCTCCTAATTCATGTACTGCATGTATCAAGACTATTCTGTGCTTACAGTCAAAAGTCAGTCAAAGTTTCTTTGTGGAAATCAGGTAGATCCTAACAAAATCTGTTTCTGCTCTGCTTTTCGTGCATTCCCGTAGCTCAATACAAAAATCATCTCCCTTAAAACCAATGGACAGGAGAAAGAGGATTGATGATCTTTGTTGGCTAATCCCTAGACAGAAAAAAAAGGTGCCATGATACAGCATTATTCTTTTACACCTTTCAGACATCTTCTCCATTCTTGTTCTTCATTCTGAAGACAGGCAAGTCTGTTGATATATTGACAGAGATTTTCTATAAATCTGTAGTTTGTATGTCATATCTCAGGACAACATCAACTTGATTTATTGGGGTTTTTTTCTACAAAATGCAAATCCTTTAGTTAGTTCATAAGAAAGAGGAATTCCCTTATCCATGGTTCTAATTTTAGAATATTATATTTTTCCAGTGAATAAGAAAGTATTTCTTTCTTCAGTTCCTCTCAGCAGTTGGAGAAGTCTCATTTCATGTTCAAATTCTGGATCTTCACATCATTATTCTTTTCTTCACTATGGAAAGTGAAAAATCAGGAAATAAATAAGACAAGAGTTCAGGTGAACAGATGCATGTATGCTTCTCAATGCACTGTCATGATTTATAACTTTAACATGAGAAAAAGGTGGTCTCTGCTCCTAAAGTTTGTCATTCTGCTGTAATTATATTATGTTATAAAACCCAGAGTATTTTTGCTGACTCAGATGAAAAAGGTTCTGAATTCTATTTGCAGAATCATAATTTTAATAATGTGAATTGTTCTTTATTTCCAGGCAGATATGTATATTGGACATCATGGGGAAAAAATGCTGGAAAGCTTTTGTAAATGGCAACATGAAGAATTTGGCAAGAAGAATGATATACACTTAGAAATGTCAACAAGCTGGGGAGAAGACATGTCTTCAGTTGATGCAGCCATACTGATCACAAGGTAGTGAAAGATGAGCGTTAAAACATAGGCAGCAGACTAGTATGAACATAGATCAAAGGAACTGATAGTTGACCGAAACAGTTAGGATTTAGTTTGCAATGAGGGAGTGTGCAACTTGAGGCACCTTTCCTGAACTCAAAGATGGTGGGAAAGTGGTGGGGTAAAGATGGTTCAGAAAGCAGTAGTGCCCAGACGGTAAACATCTGAAATGATGAACAGGTTGCTCTCTTCTTCTTTGGCTGTATAACTAAGGCCTTAGCTATATACCTAAGGTTGGATGCCTTTCTCCATTTGCCTTCATTTAAAAGAGGCAGCGCACACAAACCTATAGCTACTTTAATTTAAAATACAAAAGCATATTTAAACCATTCAGGGCTGGATCAGCATTAGGCACATTACTGAGTTATGCTTTCCTCTTACAGATCTAGAACTAGTATGTTTCATTGTGTGCTTAAGGTACATCATGTATGTCATCAGTATGGGCTCTACAGCCACAGGGGTATGATTCTAGATCTGCAGTTCCTTGAAACGTCTAAGTGTCAGGCATTTCACCTGAAGCATTTAACACCTTTTTCCTCTAATTTTTTCTCATCTTCACCTTAATTAGCCTTTATGGGAAGAGTAAGAGGCATTCTGAACTGATGTAAGTGAGGCATTAGTTAAGTCTTCAAGGGGCAGTGGTCTGGAGGTGTCTTCAGCAGTCCATGCATTTGGCCACACAGCTTTTTGAATTTAATGCAGCATTTCTAAATGGTAAAAAAGCTCTGTGAAAGTCTAATCATATGTTAAGACATGCTTTTATGAAGGTCTTTGTAATAATGATACTCCGATTTCATAGAACCATAAAATGGTTCAGGTTGGAAGGGACCTTAAAGATCACGTAGTTCCAACCCCTTGCTGTGGGCAGGGACACTTGCCACTAGAGGAAGTTGCTCAAAGTGCCTCCCTCCCCCAACCTGGCCTTGAACATTGCCACAGTTGGGCATCCACAGCTTCTCTGGGCAACCTAATCCAGAGTCTCACACCTCTACAGTAAGAACATCTTCCCTCTATCTAATCCAAACCTACCTTCTTTCAGGTCAAAGCCATTGCTCCTTGTCCTATCACTATGTGCCTGTGCAAAAAAGTCCTTCTCCAGCGTACTTGTAGACCCCCTTCAGGTACTGGAAGGCTGGAGTAAGGTTAGCCTGGAGCCTTCTCTTCTCCAGGGTGAACATCCCCAACTCTCTCAGCCTGTCTTCACAGGAGTGGTGCTCCAGCCCTCAGATCATCTTCAAGGCCCTCCTCTGGATTCACTCCAGGATTGTTTACAATTTTTTACCTATCAGTTTAAATACAGTTTTTGGGATTAAGTCTCTGATCAGTGTTAAGGAAATTATAGAACAGGGAAGTGCTTCGTTAGATGTCAGGTAATAAGTCAGTGTTGCAGTTAGAAATTAAAGATCTCTTCTTCTGGCATTTTAATTTTTTCCAGTGGCACTATTCTATAGACTATACCGCCTACCACCTCAGAGCTGCTTCAGCTGCTAATAAATCATACCAGTGTGGTTTGCTGACTGTGGGAATGTTTTGCTAATCCAGGCTCCCTCTGCACATCATCAGGTTTATGGTATAGCTAACCCCATGTGTGGTTCTACTTGTGTGTTTTGTTAATTCAGAGGCTCATTCTGTTTTACAAACACCAAATAAGCTCCTTTGTCACAACTTGCAAAGAGCTTTGAACACCAGACCTGCTTTATTGAGAGAAATTATTTTGTTTAGAGAGATTAACACTAACTGTTTAGTGTTTTTGTGAGTAAAAATGTAAAGTTTTGGTTATCCAACACATTCTCCTAAAACTTACCACACCTCCTTTTGCTGTCTTGCATGATACTAGAACAGTGAGAACAGCATAAGTGCTTTGTGAAAGCTTTTCTTTGCTTTCATATGCCAGTTGTGTGTAGTAATGAAAAGAGTTTGAAATGAAGTATTGACTGTTCCACAGAGCTAATTTTTAGTGTCTAACTACAAGGAGCATAAGTATGTTATATAGACTGTTACTCAACAGTCATAGCCTTTTTGTGAGAATGGTATTTTTCAAAACATATTTTTGCATTTGGTTTGTAAAGAGGAAAGCAAAACCAACTTCTCCCCACAATTTTCTCTGCTGCCCAAAGAGGCTGTAATGATGAAGATGAATCTGCTACCAATTTGTTCATTTTACTTTACTACGATCCTATTTCGGCCTGTAGGTTTTTTGTTTAGTTTCCCTTTAAACTGGCTTATTTTGATGAAATAGTGTCCTGTTTCAAATACAGTGCCATAAAGTAAAAGGAAAGCAGGAAGAGTCTGTAGTGTATTTAGAAAAGATCCCTAGGGAGGTTAGATACAACGAGAATGTGATAATTAAGACAGAAATTGTTTTAAGTACTGTCTTGATAAAACTACCTGTTTCATTGTGTATTTTTCACTGTATTCACCATTATAAATTAGCCCTGTTTCTTTAGAGATATATATAACAGGAAGTACTTTTCTCTGGGGAAAAAAATACAGCATGACATAGGCCACATTGATGGCCTGCTTGCATTTTAAGGTACAGAATATGAGTGCACAGAGTCAAGGCCCAATATTGGTGGCCACTGAGATGAAATTACCAGTTGCTATTTGCATAGGTTGTTTGACCTCAGTGAGGTAACTGAACGTAAGACAGGAAAAGGCCCATGGCATTCATTTTTTCAAAGTCTTTGTCAGCCACATGGATAGTTAGATTGAGTGCACCCTCAGCAAGTTTG